AACTAAAAAATGATAGTCCTGCTGCCCTTTGTGTGTCGGACCAAACTCAATTGGGCACCTGATTAATTAATGTCCGGAAACAATGTAATACGAGAGGGCTGACAACATTAACCTAGCTAGGTCGATATTATGACAATATAAAGGAATAAAAATATCTTAAAGTTAATTTATTTTTTACTAACAATTAACAGTATAAACAGTATAGAACTAATTGGAATTTGATTGTTCGAACAAATGGCAGCCCTCCTAAATAAAGGTCAGGAATAAATCCCTTCAAACACATTTCGATTTATACCCACCTTTTAATAATTCCTCCAACTTACTGAATAATTTTAACGTAACTTTTTAAACACGTGGCAACTCTCTTTCGTTTGACTACGGTACTTTCATATCTCATATACTTTTTGAATTAGGTAATTAAGTTAGACCTTTCAAACAGGTGGCAGCCCCCTTCAAACTCTCCTTCACCGGACACTGAGATACATATTTTAATTAACTAATGAATTAAGCGGCAACACCGCTAAATAAAAGAATTTAAAATTTTCAAACCCTCTTCGATTGATACCCATATTTTAATAGTTCATTTAAGTTATCAAATAATTTGAATTTTACTTTTTAAAAAGGGGGCAACTCTCTTCCAACACCACAAAAATATTCTTAAAGTTCAAACTTCAGAACAACCTTAACACTCTTTCGTTTGACATCCATATTTTGATATTTCGTATAACTTGTGTGTAAGTAAACCAAATTCGATATTTAAAGCAGGTGGCAACCCTCTTCAAAATATTTTCAAACTACTACTTTCTGAAACCTTTTCTTTTGGCACTCATATGGTGATACATATTTCTCTTACCTAATTTGATTTTTTAAACAGGTGGCAACCCTCGTACAGTTCAGCTACGAAACAAAGCTTTTCAAAACCATTTCGATTGATACCCAGTTTGTAGTAATTGATTTATTTGTTTAAATAATTTGAATATAATTTTTAAAAAGGCGGAAACTCTTTTCAAAAACGTAAAACCTTGTTGCACATCAACAGTCCAAGGCCCTTAGTTTGACACCTCATTTTGGTAAATCGAATGAACGATGCGGTTTTGATATCATTGATTATTAAATAATTTGTATTTAATTTTTCAACAGGGGGCAACTCTTTTATAAAAACTAAAAGCAGTTTGCACATCTAAAACTAGTTTGCGCTTTAGTTTGACATCTCTTTTATCTTGGACAAAAAATCGCGTATTATATATGCATATAGGTAATTTTATATTTTATTTTATCCCACTGAATTTACAAAACTAAAGTAACTTACCAACTTTCGTACTAAAAAGGACGACTGAAGCCTCGTAGCTAGTGTCGCTTTTTTAATTTATACTGTAATTTACTATTGCATAAATTGTTGTAAATAAATAAATAAATAAATAAATATGTTAAAAATGCTTCTTGCTTTGGTCGGCAGTCAGTAAATAGCGAAGGTACCAAGCATCAACCACACTACAATTTGTTATCATAATATAACAAAGCAGGGCGTTCACAGAAGCTCCATTTTTGGGTGCCACATGAAATAGCGCAAGGAATTTGAGTGACCACCAGTCAGTCGCTGCTGAAACGCACCGAAATCTAACCATTTTTGAAGCGAACAATTAGTCAGTTAGTTATTTTTTTTTCTGGGTGTAACAGAACAAGCGACGCCGCGACCTGAACTTTTCTATCTCTTAAAGAGAGAGTCCCTAACCCGGTGTGGCAGATACCTTCGGCTTCCCTAATTAATCCCAAAAGGGCCTTGGTAAACAAATCCCTTATAACAAAGTTCGGCCATTGAAAATTTAAAATAAATCAGTCTTCCAATGATATTAGTTGTGTTTTCGAATTCTCCAGCAAAAAATATCCAGTAGCTTTCCAGTAACCAAATTTCGGAGAGTAAGCCAATATTTACTCCCAATGAGTGAAATATGCAAGAAAAAACGAAAACGCAAAACCAGCAAGAATTTGATAGTTTTATGTTGTTATTTTCCGATGCAATTTTCTTAGAGAACTAGCATTTTGCTTCTTATTATAAATTTAAATAGGTTTATTTTGTCAATTGCAACTCTAAAAGCACCACAAACAATTCTTTTGTTAATGTGAATTACATTAAGCATCATGTCATCAGCTATATTTATACCCGAGCGCACTTGTGCACAAGGGCATTATAACTTTGTTCGCATAACGGTTGTTTGTAACAGGCAAAACGAATTGAGATAGATAAAGACAAATGTATACATAAATGACCAGAATGAAAAGAGAAATCGATTAAGCGGTGACTGTCTGTCCGTCCGTCCGTCTGTGCACACGATAACTCGTGTAAAAATTTAGATATTTTAACAAAACTTTGTACGTGCACTTCTTTCGGGCGTAGGACGGATGGTATTATATAAAATGTATAAAATGGGCAAAATCGGACAATAACCACGCCTACCTCCCATATAACGGTAATTTTCAGAAATACGAAAACTACGATGTTTTAGTAACTACTGTAGATTATTCACTCAAAATTAATATTCATAAAAGATTTTAGACAAAAAATAAGAATGTTATAAATATTTGGAAAATGGGTGTAGCCACGCCCACTTATGGTTACATGTGTATATCTTGGTAACCCCTGTACCATTTTCTTTCAAACTTAGCACAGTTGTTAGCCTTGCCACAGTATACCAAATGGCTGAAAATTTTTAAAATCGGACAATAACCACGCCCACATCCCATATAACGGTAATTTGGAGAAATACGAAATCTTCGATAAATCAGTAAATATTAAAGCTAATTACGCGTGCCGGGCTATTATTGAGCTTTGTTTTTTTATGAAAAATTGAAAAAGCAACAAATTCTAAGTTATCAGACTTCTTCCTCTACACTTCAGTAGGAATCAAACCCGCATCATCCATGTGCAAAGCCAGCAACGCTAACCACCGAGTTATGCTCATCCCGCAAACTCTTGTGGCTAATCCATTTCTTTGTTCAACCTACTAGTATGAAGTGCAGCTGATTCGCCGCTATTTAAACTTGACAGTGTGGTTGTTATTGTTAATTGTTTACATTACTGTGATCAGTCTTTGTGTGGCCAAAGCCGGACAGTGGCAGAGAATATGCTCCGAAGTTTCATCATCCTCGAGGCGGAGTCGCCATTCCAATTCTGTGATCACACCTATTCGGTGCAAGTGGAATCGGAATTGGTCAGGTACGCAAAAAGTAGCCTCATGCCATTTCTATTAACTCAAATAATGTTGTTTCGGTTGAAAGAGTTGCCAAAAACCCTGGCCTGTCTAAGGCACCTCCACCGCCCCCAGTAATTACTGCGTTCAGAGTGTACCGACTCAGCAATTATGGCTATCGAAGAGGATCAACTGAGACCACAGAATGGTTCCAGTGCCGAAAAGGCAGTCAGCGATCATTCTCGTGCCAACTCTGCTCGGCTATCTAAAAAGATAACTAGAAAGGCGCCCTTTTTAAGGTTTAATTTTGCACACTTTAAAGTTGCGACTATTTCAGCTTGGTGGCCGTGGCGTATTTTCAGGTTTGGTGCTAGGTCCAGAAATATCTGCACCTGCTCTTGAACCGCCTGTTTAACAGTGTATGTATCTGAGATCAAACTTTCTGCCAAAGCAGACCTGTTTAGTCATAGAATCAAAGATTCTACATATTTCCCAACCCTATTATAATCCCAAAAATACCTGGATGAACCTTCTTCTTGAAGAAGCCGTCATTTCTCCTATTTGCAATAATTAGGGCTAAGTAAGAAATCAAAAAGTAGCTCACACCGTTTATTATCATCGCTGCTACCCCAGGTGTGATGGTGAGCATTCGCATCACCTCCCAAGGGTAGCGCCCCCCTCGTGCTGGCCTTGTCGAGCGCTAGGTACATAATTTTTTGTCCCACCACCCATGGTTCTTGGATTAGGATGATGTCGGCTGCTCTTTTAGATGTTAGTTGGATGGCGGTGCCGATGCTGTCTTGCAGTGGTGAAGGTTAATTTGGAGTACAGTCACCATCTTGACTACTACCGCCACGACGCCCCAGCGAAGACGTCGATGAAGTATATCCTCCGGTCAGGTAGTCTATCGGGTCGTTCTGCTCGGATTCCTCGGAATAAAGGTTTACAGAAACGACGTCAATGCAGCGAAGAACCTTGTTGCTGTAAACCTTTATTTACTTCAATTTTATTGATTTATTTTATTAAATTTTAACATAAACGTAAAACGTGAACCTTTTATTGTGACCAATATTTTCGTTATTACTCCACTATTTGCTGTGGTTAATTACCAAAATAAAGAGAATTAAAATATCTTGAAGAACTATAGAATAAAAGGTAATTTAAATAGTGTAATATGCATATTTTTCAAGCTTACACTAAATTGTGTGCGTACGCAAAGCATTTGCAAGTGAACGAAAAATTTTGACATACATATGTGTGTGAGCGTGCAAAAGAATACAAATGGAATTATTTGCCTTTGTGAATAACGTTGTGCCGCGAATAACAATGTAAGCGACAAGATTATAATTTTGCAGAAATAAAAAGAAAATGTGTTTAATGGCGCACATACATAAGCTTATTTGATTTGGTTTTCTACTTTTTCGGTACAGGAAAATTCAATAAACTTGCTCTTAAAGCATAAAATATGCGTGTTTATTTACATTCATACATACGTATCTGCGCTTAAAAATTGTATTGGGCTGTAAGCGACAAACTTTATGTGTGCTTATGAATAGTTGTCGATAAAATCAAAATTACTTGTTTTGAAATGGAAATTGTCGATGATTGTTTTTTTTACACGTTAAGCGTAGATGTATATGTGTGTAAAAAACACGGCTAATATTTATGAAAAATGTACCTACATTGTACATTTATATCGTTAAAGTTAAAGAAACATATTCTAAGAAAATTGTCGCTTACAACGTTATTCGCGGCGACCATTCAATTGCTTTTAATAACACTGCCTATGTACATATACATTAGGTGGAGAAAATGGACGACGATAATGAAGTTGTAACTTTCGAAACTGTTACGGGTTTGGTTCAACAATTGGAGGCGTCGAACTATCATGATGATCTGCTGAATTTTGTACAGCAAAACAACTTACATTTAATGTGCTACACGAGTTTGATTGGTAAGTATTCAAGATTGTGGAACAGTGCCGGGCAAACGCCCGCACACAAAAATATTACAGTCAAAGACAAAAGTATAAATTCGAGAGTTTTTCACGATGTATGTAACACTTTTGCAAAACTCAACAAATTTTAAATTTTCTAATCAGATTTTTTAGAAAAAATTTTTAAAATTCATACACATATGTAGCCCATAAAATTTTAGTGTAACGTGATAGTTTGAAGTTGTTAAACAACATACTTTTTATTTAAGAACTGCGTGAAGAAAGTTCGTTGCACTTTAATGCACTAAAATGTAAGGGGATACAAAACTGAATTTTCAAAATTTTCTAAAAAATCTCATTAGGAAATTTAAAATTTATTCAGCTTTCCTGACTTTTATTCAAAGTTTAAAAATTTTATTTTTATGTTTTTTTAGTAAGAATTATATTTTCATAAAAAATTAACGGCAAAATTAAATAGAAAATGGTGCATACATTGTGAAAAATTTTGTGTATTTATATTTTTGTCTGTGACTGTATGTTGCCTGGTTGGTTGCTTGTGGCACTGTTGTAAAGCTACGGCTTGTGTTTGTTATTTTCTTATAAATTTTATAATAATTCAGAATGCGGGTATACATTTTAGAAATTAAAATATATTGACAAGGACGATATAAACGTAATATTTCCAAATCGAGAACAAACTGCTCTACGTTCTGAGTTCAGAGTCAAGTTATTCGAATGGAAGGCCTGTCAAGTGAGCAATTTAAAAATAAAATTTATTTATTTGAGAGTTAAGAGGTATTTTTTTTATTGTTTTTGAGGTTTTTTAAGGGTTTTAGCACGCCCATAAATGATTCGCAATCGTCCACTTTGTCCTGGCCGCAATCAACGTCTACATTTTCATTCCCAGAATCAAGCTGTTCCACAGCTCATAGTAGCGCTAAGGTTAGTTAGTTACATATCTAACATTTTAAACTTAACACACATTGTTCCATCGTTCCAGGTTACCAGTTTTAATCATAGTAAAAAAATTTTCAGTTTCCAATAACAAATTTAATTGAAAAAGCTTAAAAAAATGCTTTTAACTTTGTTGTTGGAAACCACCTGTTTTCTTTTGATTGTGTTTAGTAACTTTTTATTTAATAATTAGTTTTTAAATTGTTTATGTCGGGCGCAAAAGAAATATTGCAGTCGTCTGAAATTGGCAAAGAAATAATTAAACAGTTTGCTACAAACCAGTATCTAACAGAAGACAACAGGCGTAAAATAGTACAAATTATTTCCGAAAATTTTTATGTGCCTGCTACAGCAAGTTATTCCACCCTCAAACTAGCCGAAATAGAAAAACTTGCTGATCAAATCGTAGAAATTTTTCCAACAGAATCTAAAGATGTTTATTATATGGGGCGAAAAAATAGCAAAAATTCTAGTCCAAGCGGTATTCTTTTCAATAAGCTCCACAATCATCATCGGGAAAGAAAAGTCGTCTTAGAATCAAAAACCATTGATAATGAAAAACAGCAAGAGCAAACTGTCATTGACTCGATTATATTGGACTATGTAAATAAATTAAAATTTTATGTTGGTTCGGAGGAGGATTCTTTTGAATTGTGGAAAGCCACATATTCGTACCGCAAACATTTCATTAAACGTGCAGTATCATTTGAGTCTGTTATTGAATAGTTTCCTCTATACAAGCAAGCAATGGGATACAAATTTGTAAGCTATAGTGTATATAACAATTACATATATACCACCCACCTATTAATTAGTTATTTTTTTATTATACCAAAGTTTATTCTTTAACAAAAAGTTACAGTTTCAAACTTTGTATAATACTAACAAATTTTAACAAAGTCAAAGCTTGTCAATATGTGGGTGGCTAATAATTGTGATACACACTATAGTTTTGTTTGATATTAATAACACTAGTTTACAGCGATCAAGAACATTTAAAAAACCCATAGTCGTGCTCAGCGACTTAAATTCAAGCCTAAAATGTAAGCTTTAAGGAGGCTAATTTATCGTGTAAACTAGTGTACATATTTGTATTTTTTTTCGTATTATCAACACCGTATTAACTTACAATAAAACATAAATTTCAGATTGAAGAAGATTTTAAAGAATTATACCCAGAAAAACAATTTATGATTACGTCGAAATGGGCTGAAACGTTACCAAAGCTTACGGTTTACTACGAGGAACACGTAAAAGATAAATACTACAGAAAACTTTTGACATCTGTAAAAGGCCTAACCGACACAAGTAGGTCTCATATATTGAAATTTTTGGTTAATAGTAAAAAATATACATACGTAATCGATTATTTTTATTAGATTCGAAAGACTGCATTTATTTCATGCTGCTTCACTCCATTTTAAAACCAACTCATCGGTATATAATTAAAGAAGGCGAATTAAAAGTACATCGTAAAGCTACAATTCAAAATTCCGTGAGCAGCTCTATTTTACATATTACCAGTGTAAATGATTTGCAACATCAAATGGAACTACGTAGAAATAAGTCTATAGAATCGAAAACGCCAATACAGCCCTTTTTAATTGTAGTGGGCTCTGATCTATTGAGTTTAACTGATTTTTATGTGCGCTTTGGTTATCAAAAATTTAAATTCAGCTCATTTATAATATCTTTGGATATTTGCTTTAAAATTTATCAAATATTCTCTTTAAAATATCCTGATGAGTATCATCACGTGTGGAGTTTTCTTCAACATTTTTTTTATGATATTTCTACTCCTTATGACGTAAAGAAGCCATGTGTAACTAATTTCATTAGAAATTTAAGCAATTGCATTTAAATCAAATAACATATTTTCAGATTTGTTTTAATTACTAAAATGTTGTGTTTTAAATGCTATAAAGATTTTGCTATCTTGACAGCTTTATACTCTCATTTCATATCATATCATGGGTTAAGTGAAGTAGATATCTATAGATGTACTCACAATAATTGTAATCAAGAGTACACAAGCTTAAAAAGATTTAAGGTACATGTTAACAGGCATCTGAATTTAAAATCTTTTAAAAAGACTAATAATGTTAGCAATACAAAACAATCAGACGTTAACTTAGGAATAAGCGAAACACACTTGTTCAATATGGAAAAATCCGAAAATAATTTTGAAAGACAAATTTTCACTTGTAATGAGCCAGAAAAAAATTTTGAGATCTCTAAAAAAAGTATCGTAGAGGATGTTGAAAACTTTTTGTATGAAGATGAAGTTTTTTCTAAGTTTGAAAGTCATATTACACAAATTTGTCAAGATGTTTTGATTAAATTTTATGCAAAATGAAGAGCTTAAAAAAAACCAAATATTTCCTAGATTTTTGCTCAAATCCTTTTCGCAATATAGACACGGAACACAAGTTTTTTAAAAATCTTCTTTTAAGTAAAAATTTTGCAAAACCGATTCTTTTTAACGTAAATAACGAAATCACAGAAATTCATAAAAACAATAGGCCAACATTAGGGCCTTCTAATATTAACGGATGCTTAATGCCTATTGAATTTCAAATTCAGAAACTTTTTGAACTACCTAATGTTCTGGATGAAACTCTAGAAAATATGGAAAGACTTAAATGTGACTTAAAAATAACGCATTACATAAACTCAGAATCTTTCAGAGTGAAAATGTGTGAAAACAAAATTGTAATTGGATGATGGATTTGAAGTAAATAATCCACTAGGCGCTCATGCCAACTTTGATAATGTATGCGGGATATATTACACTTTTCCTGTAAGTCCTCAGCATTTGCTATCAAAATTGGACCATATATTTGAGGCAGCCTATTTTAAAAGTATTCATAAAATACAATTTGGTAGTGATCCATTTTTACAACCTCTAATAAATACTTTTAAAAACCTTCAAGGACTCAGCTTGAATATAAATACAAGAACCGGAAGTAAAAAAGTTTATTTTTTATTAGCTAACATTCTTGGCGATAATTTAGAACTCAACGATATACTTGGATTTACCACATCTTTTAACTCAAATTTTTATTGTAGTTTTGTATTCGTTCGAAAGAGGACATGGCGAAAGATAGTATAGCGCACCCTCAATATTCCAGGGGCGTAGAAAATTATGAAGATTCGGTTTTGCAAAATAATGTTAAGTTAACAGGTATTAAATCGAACTGTTTAATTAATCTATTGAAGCATTTTCATGTCACTGATAATTTTACTGTAGACATTATGCATGACTGGTTTGAAGGTGTTTGTAGGTACAATATTTGTGAAATTCTCTTGCATTTTATTTTGACTGAAAAATTGTTTACATTAGAAAATTTCAATTACCGGAAAAGTATGTTTGACTATGGTGAAACAGAAATAGGAAACAAATCGATTCATTTTAACCTGCAACAGCTTAAAAATTTTTCGATTAAAACATCTGCGCGTGAAATGATGACTTTAGTGCATTTTATTACATTAATAATTGGCGATTTAGTGCCTCCCGATAATATTGTCTGGAAATACGTTATTAATATGGTAAAAATAGTTGATATATTAGTCCAAAGTAAATTTGACGCTAGTATTATAAATAACCTATCGATTCTTATACAAAAGCATAACGAAGAGTATATTCGTTTGTTCAAGAAACCGCTTAAACCAAAATTTCATTTTCTGATGCATTATCCAGAAGTAATAAGAAAAACTGGTCCTCCAAAGCACTTTTGGAACTTCAGATTTGAAGAAAAACACAGAGAAGCTAAAATTTATTCACAAAATGTTATGTGCAGAAGGAACATTACATATTCGTTAAGTATTAAAGCTGCATTAAAGTTTACAACATTCTTAGAACAAAACAATGGTTTTCCAAATACATATGATATACAGAAAACAGTAGTTTGTAATATAGAAACGTCAAATTTTGCATATGCACTGTCAAGTTTAAATGAAAATTTTCAAAATATTATTATAGAAAAATTAATTTACAATGGATTGATTTATAAAAGATTACTTTTTGACTCTTAGAACAAGTGTATTAACTTTACACAAAATCAAACATATTCTCATAAGTCATCGCAATGAAATCTATATTTAAGTGAGTGTTATAATATAAAATGTTTTAATGAGCACTACCAATGATATGAAGTTGGTATTAAAGAAAACATCTTACAAATTAATAATGTAATTAATTTCGAAGGACCGCCTATTCACATATACCATAATGTAAAAGGAGGTTGCTTTATACGAATAAAGAAATTTTAAAAGTGAAAAGAAAGTATTTAACGCCTTATTTTTTGGGAGAGGGGTGAACCTTATGTGGATAAATATCAAATTGATACTAAAAAACTGTTGTCAATTTTATAAAAGCGAGTATCAAATCAATATTCGGAAAAATATCAATTTGATAAGAAAATGAATATCAAATTGATACCAAAAATTGTTTGTTATCGAGTATAAATTTGATAATAATGAGTATCAAAAAGATACCCAGTTTCGATAATAATAAGTCTCTATTCGATAAGATGGAGTATCAAATTGATAACACAAAAACATATTAAATTAATATTAATCAGTATCAAACTGAAAATTTCGAAAATGTCACTTTCACAATTTCGAAAATATCATTTAGATAACATTATTAATGAGGAAAAAAAAATACTCTAAAGTTTCATATTGATGGCTAAATAGCATGGCTCTGATGACAACTTTTTTTTGAGTGCAGGGGCAAGCAAGTGTTCGTCGGTTAATTTATTCCATATCTTCTAAAACCATAGGCTAATTTCCTCCTTTTTGAATCACTTATATTCCTCCCTTTGTCCAACATAAGGCCTTATACTTAAAAATGGAATAAACTCAGAATTGCTGACTGGGGCGGCCATTCGTTCGGCCAACTCTATACAGTTTTTCTTTTTTTTTGTATTTTTTTATACAAAGTCTTAGAAAAACCACAGCCTCCGTGCCGCATGTACTTATCTCCCAAAATTTCCACTGCTAGCAAATACAAATAAGGATTAAAATTTGAAAATTAATTAATAAAGTTTTAGTAAAATCTGTGAGAAGTCAACAATAAAATACCTTCTTCTTGGGAAATCTATAAAGGAACCTTCTATTTAAAAAAAAATAATTGTAACAGTTATTCGTCGCCACGCTGAATAGTACCAGGTTGGCTGAGCTTTTCTCGGAGCGCGCGTACGTAAATACGCCAGCGTACATATCGAGGGCTTATATTCAATACCCTCTATCTGCAATTTTCACAAAAACAGCTTTGTGATGTTAGAACCCATCTGGAACTTACATGTCATCAGTGATGTTAATTCTGACTTTGCAATTTAAAAGTAAATTCTTCTGTTAAGCGTTATACAGGGTCAGCAATTTCCCAATTGAATCTGAAATAACACAAATTTGCTGACAAAAGTGGTACATGAACAAGTTAAATGGACGGATTTGTAAATATACAATTATGAAAGTGCCCAGCGTCGCGGCGGCCCGCATTCGCGCGCCGCCCCGCGCAACGCCACGTTCGATGTCACGCTCGCACTCGCTTCCCCCGCCCTCCTTCCTTCCTTTCCTAGTTATGAACAGGTGATATTATAACCGTTTAGAAAAAAAGGAACAGTCCAGCGCCTACGTCTTGGTCTGCAGGCTGTATCGGAGATACAGCCGATAAATTTAAACGTAGAATACGGGCTATGGTTAAGAGCATATCCAAGTCAAAAACGAAAGCACACTATAAGAAAAAAAATATCGATAGCAAAATCGATAGAAACATCTATAAAAATATCGATAATAATATCGACAGCAAAATCGATAACTAAATCGATTACAAAATCTATCAAAGAATCGATTACAAAATCGATAACAAAACCGATTATAAGTCGATAACAAAATCGACAAAAAAACGATGAAAAATCGATAGCAAACTCGACAAAATAATCGATAACAAAATCGATAAAAAATATCGATAACAATAGCGATCATTATATCGATGAGTTCTGAAAATGTCGATAGCAAAATCAGTAACAATATCGATAATAAAATCGATAAAAATATCGATCACGAAAGCGATAATATCGATAGCAAAATCGTTAACAAAATCAATAAAAAGATCGATAAAAATATCGATGCCAGATTCGATTAAAATATCGACAACAAAATCTATAAAAATATCGATAACAAAATCAGAAAAGGTTTCGATAAAAAAATCAATCAAAATATCGATAACAAAACCGACAAAGTATCGATAAGTCTCGAGATTACCCAAAATCTCTAAAATCCCGAAATAGTTCCGAGATTGAGTTTCTGTGCCTTTATCTATATCCTTTTCTCTACAACTACCTTTATTTTAATCTTTCTTCCTCTATCTTCATCTATACTTTTATCGGTATCCTCATCCGCATCTTTTTCTTTATATTTATCTTTGTTTTTATTTTTATGTTTATCATATTCTTCATATACATATTCCCGTTCACCTTTGCACTTATACATATAAGTAAAGTGTTTAAATTTACCTTGGTCTTCATGTTTGCCTTTATCTTTACTCAACTTTGTTTTTGTGTTTATTTTTACCTTGGCCTTTATCCTTTTCTTTATCTATGTACGTCCTCACCTTTACTTTTATTCTTGGATTGGACTTTTTCTAAATGTTGTTTCACTTCGAAAAGTCTTCGCGTATTATGCATACATGTGTTCATATATGTATGTACATATATAATATGTATGTACATATGTATGTATAGACATACATAGATTACTAAAAATAGAAACAGATCCACATTAACTGCAATCAACATATGTACGTATGTATGTATTTACTTATGTACACACGCTGCGATTAGGTTATAAATAGCGCGCCTCTGTTTATCAAAAGCCGCATTACATACGCATACATACGCATACATACTTTTTGTCTCCTTCCCACACTTCCAACATATGCACGTGTTTGCAAAATGATGACGAGGTAATTTTGTATGGAAAATCATTTATGCCCATATATTTGAATAAAATAAACATATATAGAATATATCAACCAATACTTCCCATACACCAAACGAAAGGAAAACTCTTGAATTTTTGATTAAAGAAAACAAAAACAAAATCATTCGAGCGGTTTTCGAGCATTTTGGTAATGAAAAAAATTTGCAAATTTTTTCAACAATTTTTTGCCTTAAAATGCTCAATATTTATTAAATTTATATAAAATTTGTACCCGATAATATTTCCACTGCTCCAAGAAACCTATATCCCGAAAATGAAAGTTATATATGCCAACAATAAGTTGCTAGAGCACTTTAAAGGCTCAAAATTGACCCCAAAATAAGGCAATGTTTACCGTCGTTTTTACGACAGAAACCGAATTGGTTATTTACAAAAATGAATCTGTCGACAGGTTTGGAATTTTATCTTTGAAACGCCACACTTTTCTTTGAAATCGCTTTATTAGTTCTCGTGCAATAAGCGTTTTTGTGAAGCTCTAAAAATTACAACTACAACATTTGAACATAGCCCCCATACCTTAAGGTAAGACGTATTCTACGTCAAAAGAATAATAATAAAATAGCATTAGTTCACTCCTTAAACTGCTTGTTAATGTCCAAGCAATGGGAATTATTGCGTATGGTGTTACTGTATGCACCCCACCAATGGTGGAATTATGCCAGGTGAAGTAATATTAGAGTGAGAAGAAAGATTTCGACTCTGCTTTATTTGAAAATTTAACTATAAAATTTTACTATAAGGCTGCCGAATGTCAGAAAATAAAGCGAGAAAGCTATTTTATTACTTTACTTGTTTATTGCGCCATTCATCGCACCTGCTTGTACCGTAGCCTGAAGTAGGTAAAATTTTACATATTTTTACATCACTATTTCGTACCACATGTTCGCTTAGTCTTCGTAACGAAATCCGCAGTTCGGATATAGCAAGTGATGATAATGCAGAAATTTTAACTGAAGATAAAACTCAAAACAATGGGCCTCATGCATAACAAGTGAGCTTAAGCTCAGACTCTAGTTTCAGTATAAATTCTTGACCTTGAACTCACTTCAGCAGTGCAAAAATTGAGTTGGAGCGTAAGCTTACTTTTTATGCATGAGGCCCAATATTCTCTGTGGTATGCATATGCTGCGTACAGGAACGGCAACTTTTGTTTGTTCCATGTCATGGCGGAATTATACCAGGTGAAGAAATTAGAGCGAGAAGAAAGATTTTGACACCGCCGTATTTGAAAAATTTACAGAAAATAAAGCGAGAAAGCTGTTTTATTACTTCACCCGTTTATTGCGCCATGGTTCCATGCAATCATTTTAAGGTTTTCCAGCAATATTTTCAACATATTAAAAAGCATGCAGACAAAATTCATACAAAAGCGCCATGTCCAATTTGCCGAGCAGTTATTATAATAAACGCGCTATCCCTATTAGACTTTACATAAGTAAAAATATTTGTTTCATTTGGGGTATTCACAGTTCGTTCCAAATTGTGTCTGAAAATGTAGACGTCTACATTTTGAGACATCTTTAGCATCAAACTGTGAGCACCCCTTTCTAGCAGTCGTCGCAAAATCGTCTCAAAAGTTTGCTGGTGTTGCCAGTCATTTCTTCTTTGCGTGCTTTTCTATATGTCGCCTTTCGATTTTGTACTGAAAAATTGTAATTATTTAACTTAATTACCAATTCCTAATATTTGTTATTTCTTTTCCTTGATTTGTTTCTTTTCATCAGAAATTGCGCTCAAATTAAATGCATATACAGAAAACGTGCCCAATAAATAAAAAAAAAAATGCGATTAGTATTGCCATAATGCAACCCTGCTGCGAGGTTGCAAAATGTAGACGCGTAAAAAACATACCTTTGAGTGTGACAAAATGTAGACGGCGTCGTTTTCCAATTTTGTATGGGAAACAGCAACACCACAGATTTTACGGTTAGAAAACGTCTTAAAATGTAGACGTCTACATTTTGAGACATTATTTGGAACGAACTGTGAACACCCCAATTGTGTTTTTGGAATAAAGAAAGTTCTTTTTCCTTCTGTCAGTAAACTGTTTTTGTTACAAATACTATAAATAAGCAATGGGAAAAAACCAAAGATTTTAGTACTATTTCCCATTTAAAAGTGAAATAAAACAAATTTTGTGTTATTGCCGTTTGAGTTATTTCACCCGCCCAGAACACAACACAACACAACACAACACTACACATCATCCAACAACACAACACAACACAA